ATGCGCACTGTTTGGTGTTTTGATGTCGGCATTAAAAGCGAAGAAAATCTTTTTTTATATTTTTATTGATTCTAATGGTAGTTTACAGGTACGCTATTTTCAATGCAAAAAACAGCAGTTTTCTAGCTGCCGTAGTATTCTCACAAAACGTACAAATGCATTGATTGCACTGCACGTGTTTACTTCAAAGTTGTTTTTGTCGAAAAGTTATTTATACTGAGGAAAACTGTGCATTATCATTTTTCACTTCTATACTCGTATTATATGTAAATAATGGGGCATATTCATAGTAAAAATAAAGTCGACACTAAAGTTAGTTACAGCTTTTTCACATCACTTTCAGTGGATTAGGCATCTGTGAAAAAAAGATGCAACTAACTTTCTTCTTATTTGGGACTGAGAAACTTTAACTTAGAGTCGACTTTATTTGGTCTACGAATATGCCCCAATAGTTTTGGAGTCAAATGAAAATGCATTTCCCCATGCATATGTATGTATGTACATATGTACTCCATTAACTGATAACGTTTTTACATGCATACGTATATATGTATGTATGTGCATATTACTGCCAAAATTACTACGCACATACATACAAATGTACATACCCTGCAAAAAATGGGACTAATCCGGGATGACTCCGGGAACAATCGCAAAGGAGCATGCGACTAATACCACTTTTGATCTCTTTATATGGAATGAACTGATCGCTTTTGTTTGAGCATGTCCTATGAAGAGACTAATTGTTCTCCATTATACCCGAACGGGTATAAAAAGCGACTAGTCACTTTTAAAAAATAAAAATAAAAATTTGCGCCAGCTGAGATTCGAACCGGGGTGCTCAGTTTTGTTAGGTGAATACTCTGTCTGTGTGCCAACGCCGCACATGAAATTTCATTGACTAAGTGCGTACATATCATTAAATCGTTAATAGTACCCGTTAGAGATGAATTGTGGACTAATTGATCTCCAATTATACCCATAAGGGAGTAGTCGAGACTAATTGACCTCCATTAGTACCCGTATAAGACTAGTTGCCACTAATTAATGCCCAATTGTACGCGATTGAGAGTAATCTCGGATCTCTTTAGAGATTAGTCGCACAATTTTTGCAGGGTATTTACAACTCACGGCAGCATACATACATATGCGCATAATTACACGCATACTCAAGTATAAAAATAACTATTTCATTCACAAACGCATTCGCATATTTCTCAAGGTCAAATGATATTCATTCATAAATATGTACTACAGCAGCACATCATCACGATCAAGAGCAACTTTGTCAATCCGACACAAAAATTCTAAAATGTAAAATTGAATAAATCCCGGCCAGCCAAGTGAAAAGTGCCAATTATTTCTCTATATCCAGTAAAATAAGTTATCTCGAATTTTGGTAATTTTTGACAAAACACTCAGGGCGGTATTGTCACTTGCGAAGCGAATGAATTTGGCGAAGCAAACGATTTGGCGAAGCGAATTAAAAGGCAGAGAAGGTATTAAAAGTGTACGCGATGCGAAGAACTTGCACAAGCTGGTAAAAGCGAACACTCTTAATGAATATTTAAGTTGCGTCCGCCAATCCATTCGCTTCGCCAAACCGTTCGCTTCGCCAAATTTATTCGCTTCGCAAGTGACAATACCGCCCTCAATTTCTCTGTTCCCTTCCAATATTTCAACCACTAACTAGTATTTTAAGGTGTAATTTTAATAAACATCAAATAAAAGTGTACGTTTTCTGCAGGAAAATACATTAATTTTTTTATTAAAATCAAAACTTCTAAAACCACAAACATATGTGGTTTTATCGCAAGTTCACAAATGTAACATGGCAACTTAGCTCGTTTTCACATTTTTCTGTCCGAAATTGTAAAATTTTTGTCCATGACGCTCCACGTTTTTTGTACAGGTGGGTCTTGCCTTGAACACCATTTATATATATACAAAAAAAATATTTTATTTATTTTTTAATATTAAAAATTTCTATACTTCAAAGCGTTTATAAAAATATATTTACATATCGTCGTCTCAGAAAACGGATGTCGAATGTTACAAAACACGGTTTTGAGAAAATTGACTTTGAAGTTTAAGGTCGAATTAATCCGAAACTCTACGGTAGATTTTTGTAATTTTGGAGGAGACGTAGTTGGTGTTATTAGTTTTGATTTCCCATATTTTTTACATTTAATATCTCTTAACGTTAATGAGAAAATTTACTTTTCATTCCGTATACATTTGTCGTAAGTAGCGTTTACTCACCACTTTGTTTTGTCCACAGAACATACGACAATAGTAAAGTATCTATTTCAACGACGATGGTATAATTTGATGAAAAAAACAGACATATTTATTAAATAATGATTACTTATTAGAAAAAACATAACAAAAACATAATCATGTATTTAATAAAAAAAATCTGTACATCTCTTATGCTGTAAATATGTTACGAACATACGTTTTCTTTATATAAAAACAAAAAACAATACTTAAATTCAGTCTTTTGTAGATTTTTATCTCTTTCATTTCATTGGAGACTCAGTGCAAGCTAAAATTTAAAAATTTAAAATTTTAAAATTAGTTACTTAGTTTAATTTTCAATTTTAATTGTATCGTTATAGTAGAGGACCATCCAATTGTCGTAAGTTCAAAGTTTTGCGATACATACGACAAATGTTTTATGATTAAAAAAGGATTACATTTGTATGGGAATTTGTCGTATGTGCCACATACGACAAACGTTTTATGATTAAAAAAAAGGTACGTTTGTATGGGAATTTGTCGTATGTGACGCATTTTCAGCACATACAACAAAAGGCATACCCAATCATTAATATTATGTAACATACGACAAAATGCGCACGAAATATCTCAAAAACTAATGGAGATATAAA